CGTTTGCAGAGCGGCTCCGCAGAACCCAGCGCTTGCACCGAGATCATCGCCGTGCGTTTTAATGTCTTTTATGCTAGGCGTGCTCGTAACCTTGGCTGGGATCAAAATTCGAGATTCCCTTAGATCAAGGTGTGGAAGGCTGTAAACTTGAAGGGCTTCCTCCAGAAACCCCGTGCACGTGTGATGGTTTCTAAGCGGCGCTCTGATGTTTACCGAGCCCTGTAGCTCTTCCCATTAACATACAACTGTCTAAGACAGGCTGAACTCCATTAGGAGCTAAATTTAGTGACTCGCTAACTTCTTTTTGATATGTTTTTATAATTTCATTCTATTATGACACTTGGTTTTAAATTTGCATGAGTAAATGAGCCTCTCACTAAGTCAGGTAAAAAGATTTTTCACTTATCTACCATGAAATAAGACGTTAAAAAAATAGTGAAAGTAGAAAGCAAGGTATCTATCCTTGACATATTTAGTTTACGTTTTTTTCTACTGTGCTGACTGAACGTTTCTAACTATTAATGATACAATAAAGCTGTTTGTACCGCTCTAACAGGCTAAATAATTTCACATTATGAAGACATTTTATAATTAATTTAGTATTTTGTGAGGGAACCGTATTTTTGGAAAATATAAATTTACATTTAATTACATTCACGATCCCGATTGTAAGATGCAGCGAGTGAAAACTGGCCTTTTACAGTTCACCTCAAATAGTAAAGTCCATGGACATGATTAACACCAGCAAACAACTTTTACCTGGGATTTCCCTAATTTATTTAATAAGCTTCCTGCAGGACTGCTTAAAAACCCCCTTTGGTCAGCAAGGCTCCTGCAGTTGGTTGAAGATCAGACCGCCCGCCTTCATCCCTGTCATCACAGGGAGTTCCACCACCTTCTGTTTCCCTAACATGGATTTATGGTCTTTTATTTTAAATATATCTGAACTTTTATTCAGGATAACCTTGGCAAGACCTGAGCAACTTCGAGATCTGCATTTTGAAGGTGGTTTTCCCTTCTTTCCTCTCTGAGATGAGGAAGGAGACCACCCGAGCTCTCGCCGCCGGTGGGATTTGGGGGTTATGTTTGCGGGGAGACCAGGGTGGGGATGGGGCATGAGCACCCCTTTGTTTCGGGTGGGCGATGAGCAGCAAGGGGATGGTGCCGATGCTCGTTCCATCCTGACCCTGGGCTCCGGTGACGAGCGCACGCAGAGGTGAAAGTCCCGCTGTTAATTACCCGCCTTTTTGGCTCTCCCCACCTCTCTTGACATCACCATTTTTAATCTGTTTGTGTTATTGATTTTTTTCTTTTTTTTTTTTTCCCCCCTCTTCTTTCTTCCCCCTTTTCATTAATAGTGACAGATGCTTTTAATTAAAAAGAAAAGACAAAACAAAATCCTGAGTAAAACAAAAAGAGAATATTCTAATTTGGCGTGACATTATGAGGCAGCATGGCTCCTGGCATGCAAGGTACGGAAAAGGTCATCTTCCACGGCTACAGCCTTTTGCAACGGTGGAATTAAGTTCAAACTCAGGCTGGTTTTGAAGTCTTAAGTCTCTCCAGGGATTCCTTTCATAACATCTTCGAACTGGATAACACTACAGTAAATGAAATACACTGCACTGGATTAAAGGGTTATTTCCCCTGTGTGTCAAGCTGACACAGAATACCAAACCTCAGGTTGCCTCCGAGTTGTCTCTATCTGCTGATACCCTCTCTGCTTTACATAACAGCTCGGAGTTTTTGCAGGGAAGTTTTGTGATTATTTATTCGGCTTCGCCGCTTGGTGAATGCAGAACGATTTTATGCAGCAAGGCACCAAAATAAAGCAGCTAAATGGGAAGAAATTTAATGGGCTTAAAAACGTGAAGGAAGCGATGCAGGAAAGAGCGGAGCTGCCCCTTCAGGTCTATTATGCTGCTCTATAATTTATACTGAAATACAAAATACAGATCTCTGCGTTGCCACTCATATGTTTAGCAGCACAGAGCTTGCAATAACGACAGGGTATGATAGATGCTACTGTGCTCTTATCTGACTGTACCAACAGTTAAAATTTGTTAAGGATCATTTGCAATGTGTTTTGTTGTAGAACAAATGTTCATTTTGACTTTGAACTTGGTGTACGCGGTAGCTCGTGCAGACTGCGCTTCGCACCGGGTAGCCAAACCGCTGCCATCTGCACGGAGCCAGGGCCCACCGCGGCTGGGCTCCAGAGCGCGTCCCTCCGTCTCCGCGGCGGGGAGACGACCCGCGGCTTCGCGAATCGGAGCGTCGGCGGCTCCTCCAGCGCCGGGGCGGTCCTGGGGAAGGCACCGTCTGCGAGCTGGGGGCGGCGGGCGTGCACCCAACCCGCTCCGAAGCTGCAGGGGTTGTCTCGGTTCTTCCTTTCCCCCACCAAACCACCGATTTAAAGGCCACTCTGAAATTAGGGGGAGCCTGTAAAACGCTAGTTGTGCAATAGCTTTGCTGACAGTGGAAAAGAAGAAAACTGTTTCTTCTCCCTCCGTGCCTTCTGCCATTTTTATTTTGTCCGAGGTGGGTGGTCCAAGGCTGGCTGGGTCACGTGGAAAACTGGAGTTGCTTTGTAAAGTGTATATATAAGATAAAATGCATCCGCCGTGTTCCTGATACATTTGGGGTTGGTAAAAATCAGGCACCCTGTGTCGGGGTGTACCTCTGGTTTCTGTTCTCTGCACTGACCCTGTCTTCGGCCTCTGTGGCTCAGCATCCTCCCGCACCCTGGTTTTCTCTGGATGCCCTTATGGATACCGCTGGAAAACCCGCTCCTGCTCCTCTCCACCAAGCCCCAAAGCTCTCTCCTGACTGAGGGCTGCTGCCCGTGCTGCCTGCTCTCCCCGAGGATGAGGAGCGGCTGCCTTTCCTCTTCCCGGTCATGCCCTGGCTCCACTGGGCTAATTAAAAGTTGCAAACAGGGGTTGTCTCCATTAGCTTTTGGGTTAAGGTGCAGTCTGGCCGGGACCCGCGCGCTGACCTTGGGCTCCGTGGCAGTTGTTCCAGCAGGAATTGTGCGTGCTGGCTGGGATTTCTGCTGGCGTGCTCCTCGAGGAGGTGTCTCTACAGGCATCGGGTTCCTCTGTTTCCAACTGTTATTCACATATAAACACCCACACGCATTAAAAACATGTGGGAAATGATAGTTTCGGGTTTCTGCTGTCCATGAGTAATTTAAATCAACGGCATTTTTAGATTTACCTCTTAGTGAACAATCTGGGAGGAGAAACAAGGGCAGGGGATTTGCATGTGCTGCTTTTCTGGGTTGGTTGGAGGTATCCGCACGCTCCCGCGCTGCAGCCTCTGAGACGGTGTGTGTCTTTCCAGGAGGTCTGAAATCTCTCTGGAAAAGCTGGGACATATTGAAAATATGCTCAGAGCTTTAGCACTTCCTCCAGACTATTTCTTCAAGTATTTAAAAATATATTTTATAACACTAAAATAAATGTTAATGAGTCTGCATCGCTTACGGCTAACAAGAGTATTTCTATTTAAATGCAGCAGCCTGGCGTTTGGTGGTGGAGGAGCTGGACGAGATGACCTGGCTTTTTATTTCTGACTTGGTCCTTGATGTCTTGAGCAGTTTGATTCTCTTACGCTTTACTTTCCCCGTTCTGCTAAATAGCAACGAAAAGCTTCCTTGCTTTGTTAAAATGCTTCAGATTTATCAAAGGCCACTGGGCAAGAGTTAAATACTGAGCTGGTTATAAAAAGTGTTACTTAGTATTGTGTTTATACCTCTTCAATGTTAGCATGTATTTTTATATACTACTTGCGGTGACCTTTCTGCTTTTCCAACCAAATAAGGACAGTCTCCTTGACTCAGGGGTTTTATTTTTTATTCCACTAGCAGGCGTGGTACCTTCTAAGTAATTCTGCAAAAACGCTTTTTTGGGGGTGCTTTCGGTGTGTGCACTGGGGCTCACAGAGCTGGAGATGCCAGTTGCATACAGAAGAGGGGAGAGCTGTCACGAGAAAAAGAATAGCACGGAAGTCCCTTCCTCTCATCTTTGTTCTTTTTTTGCAGTCACTTACAGCGAAATTCTATTTTCAGGCTCTCAGCCTGCCGCGTTACATGGGCAGTGATTTGGGGGGGCAATAGGAGGGGAGGTAGCCCAAGGTGCTTCCCCCGATGAGTCGGCAGCCTTGAAGAGTTTGCACGGCGCTGGCGGGGGGAGAGGGGTAGGAATAAATGGGATGGCAGGAATTCAACCTTGGCATCGTGTCAAGGCACCGAGCCCTTCTCCGAGCAGCTGCGTACCCCGTGACTGCGGGAAGCCAAATGGTTTGTTTGTATGTTTACATGGCTATATGTGGGTCTGTGTAGGGGAAAACCACTTAGCAGAAATTCTGCTATTAAAGCAGATGGTGGGAGATTAATCTGGTTTTTAGGGGGGGGGGTGCTTGCTGGTGTGGTGACCAAATTATTAATTCCTTCCTGTGCTAGGAGTCCTTTCATCGTTACAGGGTATGGGTGAATTGTGTTTCCCGAAACTCTCGGCTCCTTCCTTGCTGTCTCAAAAGCAGTTGAGCTGACGTAGTATTTTGGGAAGTAAAAGAGCGTTTGTTGGGTTTTGTTGCTGCAGTTCTGCCACTCGTGCTCCTTCCACGCTGTCCGTCCTCTGCTCCACGTGGTCTCGACCCATTTTGGGTTTGCAGGCGGCCCGGGTTGGGCAGCTGCCTCCTGGCCTGCCTGTCCTCCTGCAAACCGATGGAAGCCCCTTCACTGCTGTTCAAATGCTGGTTGTTATGCTAGATTTTTTTTTTTTATCTTCCATTTTAGAAATTGCTCTTTCCCCCCCCCCCCCCCCCCGCCGTATCACTGATGGCTGCGTTTTCCTTGACAGTTGTGATACTTGTATGTGTGCATAAAAACAGTAGGAAGCATTTTATGTAGGTGTCACTAATTTAATTTAACTTAATTTGATATGTATGTATAGAGAGGACTGTTCTGCACTAAAGTACTTCTCTTTATTTTACAGTCTCCATCGTCATCAAATACAACTCCTTTCATTCTCCTCTTCCATTCACCTACCCAAAGACCAAACCTGGAAATAGTAACCAAAAGAGAAGCCCACATCATACACAAAGCAGGGAATGGTTGAAATAATTTAAGGGTAAGTAACTTTTTTTCACCTTTTTTCTAACTGGAAGCTTCGTGTGTTAAGCTACAATAGCAAGTGCAAGGCTGCATAGAGAAGCTGTTAAGCGTCTACGCAGCTGCTTTCTGTGCAAAGTGGAAAAAAAAACCGACTGGAATGCTGATTTGATGGTGAAAGAAAGGTACAGCAGCACCTTTTGCAGGTGAGAAGGTGCCCAGAAGGGCAGCGTGCTGGGACTTTTGAACCTTGGCACTATTCCTTCTCGCCTCGGCTGGATCTGCGCTCCTCCCCGGGTGCGAGCGGTGGTTCTGCACAGGCGCCTGGTCGGGCTGTGCATGAGTTGGGCTGGTCTGCAAAGAGCTTTCCAGTCGAGAAGGAGCTGGGAGTTCAGCGTCTCCCACCTATTGAAGAGCTCTTTTGTCATTTCCTTCTCTTATTTTTTTTTTTTTTTTTTTTCTTCCCCCCACTTAAAACATTACTCGGCTACGGTAGATGTGTTTGCGTGATGCAGGATGTTTTGGCTTGCTGTTGCCTTCTGCAGTCCCCTTGGTTTTGGGGGTTCCGCGAGCTTTTCCTGGAGAGCAACCTGGCGGTGCCTGCGCCAGGATTTTCCAAAGGAAAGCATTAGTGGGGGCTGGAGGAGGGACAAACCCAAACGGCAGAGCGAGGAGGCCCTCTCGGTGGAAATGTTTGCCTTCAGGCTTTTCTTTTGCTGCGAGGGTGGCGGATAAGATAGGAGGAGATAGAAAATCAGCTTTTGTGAAATTCAGAACCCTGGCTGAAGCATTAGTAATCTCCAAATGTTAGGGAATGCGTTTTCCCACCCTAGTCCCAGATCTGTGCCTGCATATATTGCATTTCCACACATGTTCTTTCATAGATGGACAGGATATGCATCCGCTTACATTTGAGAACTTAGCTCTAAACATCTGGGTTTTCTGGTTTATTGCTGCCATTTTTTAAATTTTTTTTTTTTTACCCCTGCAATGTTTGTTCATGCAAAATTCATATCTGGGAAGGGCATCTTAAATCCCTGCTTCTGAGTCAAAAAGGGAAAGTATGGAAGTGAAAAGAGAGATTGTATCATTTAAGAAATATGATTCATGAATTAATCCTCGTCTGCTACACCATCTGTGGCATGTGTTTCAATACAAAAATCCTGTTTTTATATCTCTTTAAAAAGCTTTCTTCTTGCTGGCTGCCTGAGTTTTCTGCAATGCTAATGGGGAATTAACTTCTTTTCGGGGAGAGAGTGGTGATTTTTATTTGCAGCCTTGGACCTGTGTCTAAGCTGTAGGTCATCGAGGGGGACGCAGAGCCCCGTTTTTTTTTTTTTTTTTGAGGGGGTGGGAGGGTGCCAGCTCTCTGTGTAATGCCGTGAGCCTGGCTGGCGGGCAAAGCCCGTAAGCGACTGGTTTTTGCACTGAAATTGTGGCTGGGTCTCCTGCTGCCGTGGCAGGGATGGTGCGAGGGCTGGGCAGCGATGGGCAGGAGTTGCAGGAGGCTGTCTAGGTTGTTCTACGCAGGAGAGAAAAATCAGAGGTTGTTTCTAAAAGTGGACTGGCAGGATATTTTGGACTTGATGCTCTGGAAAATAAAGGATTGAGGTAGTCCCCATCCTCCGTTTCCTAGTAATGTTTTTATAATCTCTCTGTAGATCTAGAAAAAGGAGGATTGCCCATCGTTACCCCGAAGAGGAGCTGCTACACATTAAGACTTCACGAGGAATGGGGAATGAAGGGGCACTAGTGGTTTTTGGGGGTGTCTGGAAAAGAGTCTGCTTTTTCTAATTTGATTCCTTGCGTCGCCCTCCAGCTTTTTGCAGGGAACAACTTTCCTTTTTAGACATATTCCTCAGGATTTCATTCCTTAAGCAGCACACCTGGTTGGCTGCTGGAGTCAGACCCGAGGCCTGTGAGCCGTTTTCCTCCTTCACAGCCAGGGCCCCGAGCAGGACAGCGTTTCAGCACGTTCATCCATCATCGATCCCTTCCCTCGCTCGGTCCCTCTCCTCGGCTGGGGCATCTTGCCGTTTGGCATTGCCCCGGCAGTTTTCTCCCGTTTCATGTGGGACGCCCGTAAAAGCTCGAGTGTTTTTTTCTCTTTGTTCTGGAGGAGGACCCCGAGGTGCTGGGGCTGGTGGATGGCCGTTGCCCTTGCCACAGCTTGCGGTGGCCTCAGCCCGTGGCACGGTGATGCACCCGCGTGGCCACCGCCTCTTCTCTGCCGGTGTCACTAGTGTACTGTAAGCACAGCTCTGGTGAGCTCCCAGGCACTGATAACGCTGATAGATGGAGGTTATCCAGGAACTCAGTACCAATGGTGAAATATTGCAGGTTTATTGCCTTTCCATTCATTTTGTTTTCACGCCTTTCTGCCTTCCTGACTCATTGCCATTCGGCCTCTGCTTGCAATTTCTATTTGCTGCGGTAACACCCACTGGACAAGACGAGAGCGTTGCAAAGCACTGAGGCTTGCAAACTGCTTTTGGAGCTTTTTTATTTTTTTTAATTGAGCATCTAAAGCCAGGACGGGTGACAGAAAGGGAAAAGGTGAGCAACGCCTTTTGGCGGAAGCGTGAATAAAGTATTACAGTGAAGGAGGAGCAGAAGAAAAGCCTCTGGCCTTGTGCGTGGCAGGTTGGGGTGAGGAGTTGGGCTGGAAAGGCGTGCTGCCATCCCCGTGTCTGACGGAGGCTCTGTCCCCAAAGGCCTCCCAGCCGAGATGGGGGCGGTGGTGAGAGATGCTCTGCCCCCCTACCCAGGTGCTTGAGCCCATTTAAGCTCTTGCGTGGTCCCTAAAAAATGTTTTCTCTTTCCCTTCTGTAACCACAAATCCCCTTCTGCCTGCTCTTCCTTGGGGAACCCTTGGGCGTGTGGGCGCTTTGCGGTGTGAAAAGTGAGGTCCCCTAGTACCCCCCCCGCTACCGTAAACAGCTGCGTGTGAAGGGAAAATAATGTCAGCGGCCGTTCAGCAAATGTTTAACCCAAACTGGAATTGGGCTGAATTACACATTTCTACATGGAAGATACTCAGGGGAGTGCAGACCAGAATTGGCACCCAGCTTTCTGTCCATCTCACACGCCCAGACGCTCCTCGTCTTTCCCAGATTTGCTAATAACTCTGACTAGTTTTTTGTATGCATTCACAATATTATGCAATTTTGCATATTCCTTAATTGCTTCAATCTTTTTTTTTTTTTTTTTTAAAAAAAAATCTGAGTTCCTAAGCTTGTTTACCGTTCTTTGTCGGCTCTGTGCTATAGTCTGGGAAGCAGAGGTTGTTTCCTGGGGTCTGTTCTGCAACCCTCCACTTCTGTCGGGTGCTCGCTGCTCCCTCCTGTGCCGCTGCACAGGCAGTCACATTGCCACGCTCCCCCTAAAATGAGAGTTACGCACTTTGTACCTTGAGCACCTCCTACGCTTACTCACGCGGCCAGCGGTAGCATTTTGCAAAAAACTTTCAGACCCTGTAGAAAGTAAAAAAAAAAAAAAAAAAAGACCCAACAAAACTAAATTCTACCAGAAATGTGAAAAAAGCAACAGTCCAAGCATTCTGATAAGCATATTCCATTAGCCATGGTTTTTACTTTTTATTTTAAGCTCTGATTAAAATGCAGCAGGGGGAAGAAAATTTATTTAAAGCGGGGAAAGAAATGTTTATGCTCAGCGTCGGCCCTTATTTCCACCGCAGGGCCAGTTTGTGAACGAGGGGCTCTGGTTTTTTCCCCCCTCCCCCTGCAAGGTCCCCCCGAGCGAGCGAGGGTCCCCGCTCGTTAGCGGTGGTGGCCGGGAGGGTGACGATGCTCGGCGGCAGAGGACACGTGACGGCAGCTGGTTTCTTGCGGGAAGCTAATGAAGAGACGAGAAGCATCGATTCACCAGCTATTTGTGAGGACCCCAGTGAAACAGCTGTTTGTTTCTCATAAACAATTATGCCAAGACGGAAATTGGCTTGTGTCTGTACGTACTTTTTGGATGGGGAAAATTAAGCAGTAATAGCTGGAAAAATAATATGGGCTATGAGATAATAGATGCCTAAGGGATAAAATTAAACAGTGCTTTACAACGAAGGAAGAGGTTTTGGCAATAAATAGTTTGCATTTTGACTTCTTTTTGTTTGCCAGAGGACTGATGTTGTTTTGGGGAGGTTGTCTGTCCTGGGATGTATTTTCCAAACAGACACAGGGAAATAGTGAAGGTTTGTTTTGGGGTGGTTTTTTTTTTTTTTTTTAATTCCTCACGAGAAGGATGGTGCCAAGGCCAGGGTGCAGCTCACACCATCCGCACCGCCAGCGTGTTGGCTGTGCCAGGGACGTGGACTCCAGGGCTTGCTCTGAGAAACGCTGCCAGTGCAGGAAGGTGTTTTCGTTTAAACAGCAAGGTTTACCCAGCAAAGTGGGAACAGGACTTGTTTTAAATGCCACAGGGAGCCCAAAAAGCTCAGGAAGGGGGTGTGGCATGTTTGGCACCCCAACAGGGTCCGAGCAGGGTTTCTTCACGATCTCTGTGTGTGCTGGTGGTGCTGCTTGGGTGGCTTTGTCCTGCTGCAGAAGCCCCTTCCCGATAACGCAACGGCCGTGGGATGTGGTTCCGTCCTGCTGCCCCTCCACAGCTTGCTTTTCCATCCCTGCTCCATGAGCCTTTTGCGAAGGGGGTGCTTTGGAAATGCCTTTTTTCTTCATTTCAAGTGGCTGGTACTGCTATCTCCTTCAGCTGTGCCTGGGGGACAGGCAGAGTGGGGCCAGGAAAATGCTTTGGGTGCCTCCCGGTGCCGGCGACAAACATCCCCGCGAGCAGGGCTTGCTCTCTGCTGCGAGTCGCTGCGGTCAGGACTTGGTTCCTCTTCACTACATGAAAAATAAAAGCACAGTTGAAACAGAGCTGCAATCCCTAATCCCACCTGCCCGAGGACACATCCGGGTGCAGCAGGTCGAGAGCCGAGGTCTTTGGCTCAGGCTCATCCCTGCTTATCAGCTTTTAATTTCCCAGACGTCGGGGAAAGCCTCCCTGCCA